TTTTATTCTTTTCAATTACTCCTAGTTTCCAAATTTCCATGGAGGAAAACGAATTTCTGGTACATCAGAACCATGATAGGTGTCTATTTTTGCCTTTATATATTATTCATTCTCTTGACAATCAATGAATATGTTTACCTTTTATTTTGGTCATGGCTATTTTGAGTTCTGTTGTGGTTGCCTGACTATGACTTCAGCTTTATTATGGTGGTGAACTGATAGGTGGAATATCTCTGCTGGTGCTGCTCGTCCAAACCCACAAGGATCTTTCAAGTATGGTCAGATTACTGTGACAGACTTCTATTTGATTGTCAATAGGCCTGCAGAGCTTATTGATGGGAGGTGGCATACGACTCTTAATGGTATTTCATACTTAACACCTTCAACACCCCTAAAGCTTGCCCAGCAATTCAAAATTCCTGGGGTCTACAAAGTTGATTTTCCTAATAAAATGATGAACAGACCGCCCAAAGTGGATACGTCTCTCATCAATGGAACTTTTAAAGGTTTTATGGAAATCATCTTTCAGAATAATGCTACAACTGTTCAAAGCTACCACATGGATGGCTATGCATTTTTTGTTGTTGGGTGAGCTTCTAGTTTGATTGCTTTGTTTATGTCTAATCTTAATTTTGATACTTGAAACTTTGAAAGAGTTAATAGAAATTTAATCATTTGGACTGTAGGATGGACTTCGGAGTGTGGACAGAGAATAGTAGAGGCACATACAACAAATGGGATGGAGTTGCTCGGAGTACGATACAGGTGCTCTTTTCTTCTAGATGTTGTACTGACATGCCTTGTAATGAAGTTTCCAGTTAAAAGATTTGTCATTTTGAAAGTATAATAGAATGCAAGAGACTGAGACAAGAAAAGGACGCAGAATGTTGTTTTACGAGTAATCCAACTAGAGTACTTTCAAGAAAAAAAACGAGTAACCCAACTAGAGAAACTCTTGACAGGTGAGATAATGGTAAAAATGAGTGTCTCAATGGATTATCAGACCCATTGAGTACTTTGTGGTTTGTGAAAATGGACTTGGTATATCTTGATAGAAGAGCTGACTTTATTATTTTCATAGAAAAGGTACTTGGCAGTATTTTTCTGCCTCAACCAATTTACAGTTTTCCCATTTCAGTCTCGATGTCTACTATCTTCTCTTCTTTTTATGATAGTCTTTTTCTATATTGGATTTCCAAATCTGCGTTATAGAAGTTGCAGATTGGCCTCCCTTCGTACGTTTCTTGTACTGGTTTATAAAAATAGTTGCACGAGTATGTACATTCATGCACGGTGGAAATGAACTTTCTACGATACATTTGAACCAACTCTTACTTTTCTACTCTCTTTCTCTTGCCTAGCTGACTATAGGTCTTTCCTGGAGCTTGGACAGCAATCTTAGTTTCTCTGGACAATGCTGGCATTTGGAATCTTCGGGCAGATAATCTCAACTCATGGTACCTGGGTCAAGAAGTATACGTGAATGTTGTCAATCCAGAGATAGATCAATCTGAAGTTCTTATGCCCGAGAACGCCATATATTGTGGCTTGCTTTCACCTTTACAGAAGTATGATGACAGAAATGCAGTCACATCGTCTGCTGCTTCTTTTTGTTTACTCTGCTTGCAGTTATACGGTTTGTGACAATGGTTAACAAGTAACAGAAACCTCATAAAAATAATTTGTGCCCATAAATAGCTAAAAGAAATCCGTTTTGTGGAAAAAAAAAAAAGGTTTAATTTTATTTCCTGATTAGCTTTCACTTGTTTGTATTTGACAGGGACCAGGCTCAAAGAGTTCATTTTTCTGGTTCTCCATCAGTTTCCAGCCCAAGCGGAATGGTATTGATTGTTTTACTCATAGCCTTGTTGAGAGTCAGGTAACAAAGTTGGAATTGGTTTTCAGTAAGCAATTACACTTCAGTTACTGTTTGGAGGAAGTCAATGAATCAGACCTAACTTGGGTGGGTCAGAAACACCAAATGTACAAAATGAGACTGGTATAAAATATTGTTGGGGAAGAGGTTTGGATCCTATTAACACAAAACTGCCTTGCAATGGTAGCGTACAGAATGTATATCAGATGATGTTGTTTTGTGAGATACTCCAAGTGTAACATGTAAGCATCATTTAAATGATGGTGTCATGAATCTGTCTTTTTCTGTACTTCACATGGGTGGTGTTTTAGAGGGTTGTTGAAGAATGTAGGCTTTTGAAAAAGAAAAAACTGCTTTTCGTGAGTTCCAAGGAATCCAAAAAAGGGGGAGGCTATTATTAGTTGTAGGAGGAGAAAATGATGTCTTATGCTAACTTTTTTTTTTTAAAAAAAAATATTTTTCTCTGTTCTTGTTTTTTTTTTTTTCCCTTATTTTGCAAGAAAAAGGATAGCATGATAAGCATGCGTGCATAAATTACTTTTCATCTTACAATTGCAACATATTCTTTTGAAGGAGACTTATTTTTATCACTTACCCTATGCTTTGTAATTGTTTATTTGCCATTCATAGGTAGCTTTCGATACATGTAATTTTCGTTATTAGCAAATATTATTCATTCCGTGGTAAGAAAACAAAGCGTGACTCGTGAATGATTTAGGTTTAACTAGGTAAAGAAATAAGAAAAATTATTTACTGTAAAAAATGCTGAAAGATTTAACAATGTAAAACATTTTTTTGAATAGATTTAGAGCTGATAATTGTTAACATAGGATCAAGACAGGATATGATTGAAAAGATAAAATTACTAAGAGAGAGAAATCTGTTTGCAATAACATTGATTTCTAACTGGTTAATGTGAAAAATGATAAAATAATGTGTTTTAATAAAAGATTTGAGAATAATATATTATATAATTAATGCTAAAAGTTGAGTTATTTATACATATGAAACATGGTCTGTCACTTTTATTATATTTATATGTATGGAGGTACATGGATCTTTATGGGCAAATTAATTAAATTATTTTTCTATTTATATGTTATTGTTTGAAGTTAATTTTTAAAATTTATATTAAAAGTCACTTCAGATTTAGAAATTTTAAAAAATTAAAATTAATTATATATATATATATATATATATAATTGATTGTTGTAGGAATCTTCTTATTACCCATATTTTATTATTAGTATCAGCATGATTTGAATAAATAAATAAATAAAATTGACTGCTTTATTAAGATATTAAAGTGTAGACTTGAACTCTCTACAATTTCTAAATTTCATAAACAAATAGTTAAATTATTAAAAAGTTAATATATAAATATATTGCAAGAACTAAATGAATATATATATTTTTATTTTTTAATTAGAATATATATAATTTTATTTTAAAAATAGAGAGAAGCAAATATAAAAATAATATAAGTTAAATTTAAGGTAAAGTAATTAATTATTTGAGTAAATTTTATTGGGATATAATATCAGTATGGGTAATTTGCATAAAGTAAATATTACAAATAACACTTACATGGTTTACAAGTAATATCTTGCCTTGCAAGTGATAAAACTCCAAGTTGCACTGTCAAAAGCATCAACTTGCCCTGCAAAGCGACTGAATATGTAATGTATACGTATATATACACCCACATATCATTAGTTCGCCAAGTAGTATGCTTGATACAAATTTTCACCTTCCTTTTCCCAGAAAGCAAAGAAGCAAAATTTTGTTGTAGAAACCCAGTGGCTGACTTTTAGCTTCAATAGCCATGACTGAGACTGGTCTTGTCTTCCACAAGCTACCCTTTGTTGTTTGCGTGACCCTGAGTTTTTTCGTTGTGTTATCACGATCAGCGCCTCAGAGCGCTTTAGTTACCAGCATTCCTGGCTTTACTGGTGTTTTTCCTTCTAAACATTATTCTGGGTATTTCTCTTTCTTTAACTGCTGCTCTTATTTTACTGGTTCAAGGTTCTCATTTTGAACTATCTTCTTTCATTGTTTTGCCTCCGAGATTAATTGGAGTAGAGCTTGATGAGCAAATCTCAGTTTGCTATGATTGATTCGTGATTCTCTTTCTTAGGTTTTTGTTTTCTGTTTGTTACGTTTGGTTTTAAAGGTATGTGACGATTGATGAAACTCATGGCAAGAATCTGTTCTATTACTTTGTCGTATCTGAGAGTAAACCATCAGAGGATCCGGTGGTCTTGTGGCTTAATGGCGGACCTGGATGCTCCAGCTTTGACGGCTTTGTGTACGAGCATGGTATGCATTGAGATTCCGTTAATATACTTTCTGCTCACTGCTCATTGTAGTTGTGGTTTTGTTTGGTTGTTTTTCATTGAATTGTTTGTCAATTTCGTTTCTGGGTAAGGGAAATGAAATTCTCCCGATGAAACTTGTTACCCATTGTTGTTGACTGTTTGTGTGTGAATAGTTGTAGTTTATATAGATTTCTCATATAGTAGGTAAATGGTTCTCCAAATATGAAAATGGGACTTCTATAGTTTATATATGAAAATAAGATTTCCCATATAGTAGTTAGGGATTAGTAATCCGTTATAAAATTTGAATGGATTCGATCTTATACATACACAAGGAAGGTAATCAGAAAAGAAAGAAGATGAGTTCTTCTTTACTTTTATCACTTTGGAACTGTGCGAGATAAAAGTCTCATGTATGGTTTTGAATGAGAGAAAGAAGTGAGGAATTATCTTTTTTACTTTGACTCTCCCACTTCGATCGTTGTTTTTCTTTTTGTTACTTCGAAAGTAGCTGTTTCAGATTCAGTCACTCGAATTTCCGATAATTCTTTTTTGTTTCTCATCAAACGAATGACATATTCTATTAGAAATTCTAACTATTTTTAGCGTGATATTGGAGAATCTCATTTCTTGTGTGAGCTGCAATTCACTTCCCCACCTTTTTAATATGAGTTCTTGAAGTTTGCTTCCAAAATATGTTGCAGGGCCTTTCAATTTTGAAGCAGCAAAGACAGACAAAGGCTTGCCTCAATTGCATCTCAATCAATACAGCTGGTCCAAGGTTTATCTTATGGGGTTACTTTTGCTTTATAAGAAGAAAGAGTATATCATATAAATCTTCTGCCAAAATTGTCCTAACTTCAGTTACATTTTCGGTTCCTGTTCCTGTAGATGATCGCCTTGTTTAATTGTTTTGGGACTTCCAGGTTTCCAACATTATATATTTAGATTCACCGGCTGGTGTTGGATTTTCTTATTCAAAGAATCAAACTGATTACATTACAGGTGACCTGAAGACTGCATCAGATACTCACACATTTCTCCTCAAGGTGAAAGGGGCAACAGAGGAAAAGATAATCAGTTTCACGCGTTGATCATAGTTGTTTTCTTATTTCCTAAGCTAATTACTATTGACAAATCGTGTTTCCGAATACAGTGGTTTCAGCTTTACCCAGAGTTCCTACCAAATCCTTTTTTTATCGCTGGAGAGTCTTATGCTGGAGTTTATGTGCCAACTCTTGCTGATGAAGTAATGAAGGGTATCCATGATGTTGTTTAAGTCAATGAGTTATAAGAAAACTAGAGTTCATTTCTCATTTGTGTTCGAATTCGCTTTTGTAACAGGAATTGATGCTGGTACAAAGCCGTTGATCAATCTCAAGGTATGTCCATCTTTGCAAGCTCAATTTTTAAGGCTTTATTTTTACGGAGGTGATATAAGCTCAACATATGCAGGGATATTTGGTGGGAAATGGAGTTGCAGATGAGGTGTTTGATGGCAATGCACTTGTCCCATTTGTACATGGGATGGGCCTGATCTCGGATGATTTATTCGAGGTAGGTTGAGCCCTTCACTGTCCTACAGTTAATTTTCAAGCTAGATTCGTAGGCCTCCTCACAAACTGATATCTCTTACTTCATATATGTTTCATTCGTGTTACATTATGCAGGAGGTTAATAAGGAGTGCAGAGGTAGCTATTATAATTCTCAAGATGAAAACTGTGAGAGTATGCTTGAAAAAGTTGATGAGGTAATCTAACTGCTTGTTCATGATGATTGTTAGAAAATTTCAGAGCATTCAAATTCTGTGTCGTTTGCCTTTACATTCTAAAAAAACCCATTGGTTGCAGGACAT